AGACCCCCCTGGCGGGGGTCCCAGCCAGTAACCTTTCTCTTTCACGCCACTTTTAAACTTAACCCTTGGAAGAGGGAACAGCCCTGCTGAAAGGGCAGCCGGCCACTTTGCCGTCCGCCTGCAAGAGATCTGAACACGGCCATCCCGGCTTCCCTATCCCTACTGGGATTCATTTTTTTTTAAACCCTAAGAGTTTTGATGAGAAATACATATGATATATACCGTGGCACTAGTTACAGGTACTAAAAAACCCCTGCATTCCACTTTTGCCTGTTCTCTGTGGTTTTGTACCTCGTAATAAGGCTTTCCAGTACCAGTGTTGGACTTTTTCCTATCCGTGTGAAAAAAAGGTAGAAAGCGTGCATGTACACCAGTGGACTTTTTAAAGATAAAAGCTTGTCGATACGACAATGAAGATGACATAGCGTCTGCCGTTTCCAGCGACGTGGGCCGGAGATGGTTTCACACCGGGGCCTGAAGTGGCTGAACCCTGCTGCTAATTGATTAAGTCGGCAGCACCCTGCCCATTCAAAGACTGTGTCTTTCTTTGACCTAAATAAATGGTTCAACGCGCTAATCCCAACAAAAGGGTTGCTTATGGCCCTAAACCCATTTATGGTGCTCAACTTCATGAATTACCTATTGATTAGTCCTTTTAGTATATTGTTGGCTTTAAGATGAACAAAGCTGAGCTCGGGGCAGCGGGAGTTAATTCACAAGCCAGGTCACATATTCATCAGGTAGGGGTATGACTTGGTCTGATGGGTGCCTGAACTGGAAACTGAACCTCCAACGCTGCCTCTTGTCGTAACTGTTTGGTAATACAGGGCTTGCAAGTGTTATTTGCTGCCCGCAAACAAGAGTTATTTATTATTCTTTTCCTGTTAGGACATAGGGTTTGAGTAACTTACAGAAGGTTTGGTGTTGCTATTTGTCTCTAGAATGGTCCTTTGCTCTAAGCGTGACTTCAGTGACACGTGATTGTAAACGTCATTTGCACACCGACGTGAGAGGCTCGTACGTGTGACTGTAGAGTGTGTGGATTCGGGAGCTGGTACGTTTGCCAGGAAAAAGGGAACCACAGGTCATGCCTGCTGCAGTGTTCTCTGGCCACCGACCTGACGCAGCCTCCAGCTTTCCTCTCGGAAGCATGCTGGAGGTTGGGCTGAGACACCTTCTGTACTGGCCTGTGCAGGTCTGCTGCCGGGGTACGCCCCTCGGGGTGTGCCACCATCGCTTTATCCCTGGGCAGCTGAGAAATAGGGGGGGAAGCACCCCCTGTTTTGAGATGCAACTACAGCTCACCTTTATGGGTTTGCTTCTTTCTCATTCTTCTTTCAGAAATGTAATTCTTAGGATAGTTTGAGCAGGTGTTGGTGATGGCTATATGGATTCATAAAAAGTTTTGTATCTCTCCTAAGGTTTTGAAATGTGCAGTGTTAGAAAGTAAACAGAATTCATACAGAAACTGCCCAACAGGGTCATCGAAGTCTGGCTATCGAAAGACTCGTAGCTGCCTTCAAGTATTTTGTATCCTAGTCAATCAGTAATAGTCCATTTTCCTTCAGCATTTCCTCCTCCCCAACAGTGGAAGAAATGGAAAGTGTTTGTTCACTTACAGTTACCTCATAACCTCTTGAGTGCTCTACAACAGCTCCCTTTTTAAGGGGAGGAAGTTTTTGGATGGTTGCCTACTAAAGTTAAGCTCATGTAGCTTTGACACTGTTAGTGAATAACAATGGTAGTTTTAAAAGACTAAATTAAATGCTTATGTTATAGAAATAAGAGTAGATTAAAATCTAATCATATGTTAATATTTTTTAGAATGTTTGCACTTAAAAGACCTGATAAATGTTTTGTTTGTTTGTTTTAATTATAGCGTATACAAACCGGTATCTTAAAAGCATTTAATAATCCAACTACTAAGACAGCAGATGAAGAAACTAGAAGAAAAGTCAAAGGTAGGCAACTCTTTATTGAATACTTGTGAAAATGCAGGTTTTTAAATACCATTTTCTTCAAAACTGGCTATTGCAAACAGCAGTCCTGGCGTACTGTAGTTACAAGACTTTTATTATGTATTATTCTAGTGCCACCTAGTGCGTATGTAAAGGATAGAGAGCTTGGTGTGTGCTGACTTGCATCTCTGTATCTGGGATAAAGTCTTCCCTTGTATTAATACTGCCTCTTGTAGCGAGAGGGAGAATTTGATTTTGTTTTCTAGAACAGCTTGCTGTATCTGCAGGTTTGTTTTATAGCCACAGTTACTGTATCACTCGGGGAGGCCACTTCCCATAAATAAAACTGACTTCTGTCAGCTGATTGAGACTGTGGGCACTTTAAATATGATCACAAAGCCAAGATAGGAAGGTCTTTCAAAAGAAGGCATGTTTTTTCAAAATAAGAGTTTTAAAATTAATTTGTGTGTATGCAAAAGTTCTAATTTGGGGGATTTTGTTTTTATTAAATTCTTAATAACGATTAAGCTGTTTTGAAAGTCACCCCTCCCAAATCTGTCACAGTTAAGGCATAGAGATGTATTAGAACAGGTTTTTGTCTCATTTTTTAGAGTTTTACAGTTTCAAAAAACATTTAGAAAGGATAACAACCTGTCTGCTACCCTAGTGTTTATATCAAGGCAATACAATATTATGTATTTAAAAGAAAACTGAGATTTTATTTAAAAGGCTGCTTCTTGAGAGATACAGGATTATTATTCTGTTACAGTAGGTGGGGAAGGATAACGGGGAATCGTATCACTGAAATATTTTAAAATGTTGAGATAATACAGTATATGATGTATTAGTTGTATTGTGTTCAAAATGTTTTCAGTATGTTTAAAATTGTGCTTTCGCAATAAATCTTGGAAAGAATTTTGTTGTACTTATAGTGTGGCATTGGATCTGTTATTTTTCACATTTAAAAAAGGCAATGTTTTTTCAGCGTATGGAAGAGAGGGTGTGAAGATGAACTTCATAGATAGGATCTTTGTTGGTGAATTGACTAGCACTGTCATGTGTGAGGAATGTGAAAATGTAGGTATTCTGGAATTTGGTTTGATGTGGAATAGATCACATACTGGTTTGATTACGTTGTCTTGAAAGTATAAAATTGTATTGCCAATTTTATACTTGTTTGTTTGTTTGTAAAACCAAGACTTTATTGAAAGTTTCTCATTTAAAATGATTTATTCCTTCTTTGAAGCATTATCCTCCCAAATCGGCGAAGAGGGGTCCTTTGACTTCAAAAAGGATTCAAGTACTGGGCTTGATTTTAAATTTAACTTCAGGCTGGAGGTTCCAAATTCTACAAACATCTGTGTTACACCCCAATTTTACTTGATATTTTTAAAACACCTACTTGTTTTAAAACGTCAGTCCTCCTGCCTACTCTGCTGGGATATACCTGAAAATTGGGTATTACTCCCTTTGAATTAGTATGAGTGGGGAAATGCTAAAATTACTTTTTTTGTTTCTTGAAATATTTTTTATAATTAACATAATAACTGTAATGAATGGCATAATCCTTTCATAATTAATATTACTGACATTTCATCATAAATGCTTTCCATGATCCTTATAGTTTTCTTTAACTTTGGAAGAGAAAAAATCGTATTTGCATGACTTTTCTAATTGAATGTTACATTTGTGTTTGGTTTAAAACATTATATTTCATATTATAGAGATTAAGTAAATCAGTCTGAATAATTAAGCACAGTCCTGCAGTGCCAGGTAAACTTCCCTGTGTGTGATGTGCAGATTACACTTCAGTGTGCCACTGGTATCAATGAAGAACTTCAACTATATACAAAAGAGAGGTTGTATGTGCTTTGTGTGTCTCACTTACTGCTGCTGGATTCTTATATTCTGCCTGCACAGGACTCGGGACTTTGCTAGCTGTAGCCCTCTGAGGAAGAGCTTAGCGTTCGCTTTCCTTTGCCTGCATTGGCAAAGGTATTTTTGACTAACGTTTGTTCATGCAAGCTTACTCTTTAGAGGAACCTCTGCTTGAACATCGCTCATCAGGCAGCCTGTCCTCATAGTTACAATAGGTTTGATCTCATTTATTGCTGTACGGGAACCTAAACCGTGCTGAGTCCCTTGCACAACAGGTAAAGAATAAGCCTGCAGTCCATATCAAATGTTGCAGGTGGAAGATGGGGTCGCAAATGCAAGAGAAGGGCAACGATGACAGTAATTGAGGGCATGACTCTGGTCAGTAACTGCCACGTACGACATGATTTTTCTGGGGTTTTTAAGACCTTGTTTTTCAGAGTCTTTCCAGAGGAAAGATAGGTCCGTTTTGGAAGGAATTTGAGAACGGCAAGGGAGAGAGCTTAAGGAACAGTCTTGGAAGGGATGTTCTAGTCATAAAGGCAGATGGGAACTGCTGAGAGAGAATGTCTTTAGGTATGATTTGCCATAGATATCCAGTTTCAGCATAGATTGTATATGGTTTATAGAGGGCAAAATAGAACTCCAATAAAGAAAAGAAGGTTCGTTGGTTTGCAATCCCTTTTTCCCCAGTAATTGGATTTATTTTAACAATTACTAGTGTATGTTATGGTGTGAAAATTTCTAATGAAGCTTTTGGCTGTAACCAAGTAAGCTTGACTTGATCTTTTCTGAGAGCATCAGGTTAGAACCTGTCATCTAACTGTTATTAACCAGTCCTTGCTGCTTAACAGTGTACAAGGTCAAACGCCTGCGCAAAAGCATCCAGGATCAGGAAACTAAAAGTTAGTTTTCTGCAGAATTGTACCATCTAGAAGGCCCACATGACTTGAAAATCTGTCTGGAGCTCAGAGAAACTGAGCACTGCACTGCTTCTAGGTCCAGTTCATGCCCAGGTGAATGGCCTGGCCCTTTACATCTGTATGCTGAAATTTTGTGCAGTGTTAGAAAGAAAATCTGAGCTAACTCAAAATAAAATAAAAATAGGAAAAATGTTTTTGGGAAGTTCTTCATTGTAGCTTGATACATCCTTTAACTAATTAGCTTTTTGTATAGTTTCTGACAATATGATTTAAAACGGGAGCTGTGTGCTATACCCATATAGTTCTTTGCATTTAATATGCATTTTCTCTTTTCCTTCAAGATTTCAACAGTAAAAGAACCTTTCATTGATCTTTCACTTCCTATAATAGAGGAGAGGGTAAGAAACAGAATATGTAATAACTACTCATTGCTTCTGGTGGATTGTTTTTGCATACCTTTATGAAGATGGTTATGTATATACACAGTTTTGATTTCAAGCCTAAAAATGTATGCTTGTCCATAAATACTGATGTACTGTCATCATTATATGATTTTATGTGTATATACACATATACGTACGTATATATAGACACACAATGTCATAAGTACTTATATTTTTAAATTAGTCCAAACTTTGAACAGATGACCATTGTAATTTCCAGTATACGTAGGTCTGAGATGAATTTAATTTAGTAGTATTTTTAGTATATACTTCCACGAATAGGATGATTGTAGACTTTTTTTGAAGGTCCAGAAACTTTGCTTCTAGCGTCTAGAGAACTGAGTCCCTCTGGACTGAAGGGTACCTACGGGACGAGGCAGTGTAAAAATGGATAGGCTTTGAATGTATTTATTCTGGTGTTTTCAGCATAAATAGTTCATGGAATGCCTCCATTAGCTGTTAGAGGAACTGTGTTCCTTTGAAGGTGTATACCCTGGTTTTGCGGAACTTGGGGTTTTCATTTGAGAATAGGTGGGATGCATTGGGAGTGGTTCCTCCCCCCTCCTGCATATATTCATGTATATTTAAGGGAGAGTATTTAATGTAATATTTAATCCTGTATAAAGTGTACTCGTCTCCAAACACCGCTTTTGTTCATAACCAGTTCTTCATTTTTGTTGCTGCACAGAGTGCAGATGTCTGTGGGAATTAAAGCTTTAAGAACATTTGGAGTATCTGGGCCTGTGTGCTCCCTGGCTCACATGTGTAACACGGGAACTTTATGGGTTCTGTCTGAGAGAGAGGTGTGGTGGCTTTTAGCAATCGCTGCGCTTACTTGAGGACGTGCATTACTTTACGGTCGTCTCTCTCCTTTGTAGTCTAGATATGCTGCTGCCATTAGTGTCATGGGGGATGTCATCACGTCATAAGGTGGTAGGCGGAACCAGGGACTGACTTATGGGGAGCTATGTCCCCTTTGATAAATTCACAGCTCATACACCTATGCACGTGCTTATATGATGCCAGAATAGACTATTTGTTATGTATTCTGTACAGGAATTTTGTATCATTCCTGTTCCCTGTGGCTCTCAGTTGATCTTTCAAAGATGTTGACAGTGAGTTTATGATAAATAAAATCAGAAAGTAGTCTTATACCACAATTCAGGGGCCAGTTAATTGGATTTATGTAGGTTACTGTTTTCTAAAGTAAAGGAAGAAAAACCACCTGCAGTCATCTTTCCTGTAGGTTGCAAAGGAATACAGAATCGGGATATTTCCTTTCCTAATTTCCTGTCTAATTTCTTAGGTTGCAAAACCGGTGCCTTTGGGAAGAACAGGTAAAGGTAAAAGTGTACAAGAGGCAGATCTTGGTCAGTATAACTGTTCTTCTATTGCTACACTGAATAATCAACCCAAAATTGTCAAGAAACACGCTTTAACAAAAGATAAGGTAAGAACTGAAGTACTCGCTCTAACCAGTCATCCTGAGTTTATTCTGAGGTTTCCAGGGTTACCGGGGTGGGAATTTTCACACCTATCTTTGCTGTATACATATAGCTGAGATAGATTTGTTCTGAATAGTTAGGTCGTTATTAGAAGTGTGAGAGATGAGAGTCATTAGAAACCATTTGGTTTTCAGTTACAGAGTTTCATTTGTAAGGGAAACAAAAGTAATCTGCAAGTTAGTTTCAACACACGTTGCTTTTGGTTTTGTTGACCGCTTTTCTTTTGGTGTCCTTGCTTGCTTGCAGTCACAAGAACTGTAATGCTGGCTAAGAGAGCAGCCAAGTCTGCGTTAGTGCCATCTGAGGGATTAGCTGGCAGTGGGTACAACAAAAATAGTACAGCCAGCAGAGACTCATGGAGACGGAGAGCATGGTTTCCATGATCCGCTTGGCCTTCAGCAGCCCGAGGGCGGGGGAGCTCGGTTCAGCCCGTCTCCAGTGCAGCCTCCTAGGACGGTTCTTTCTGACGGTAGCAAAAGGGTTCTGCAAATATGTCAGCCTAACAGAATTGATTACTTGTATGTAGTAGTGTTTACAGATTAAAAGAAATCTGTAATAATTACTGTGCATGTATATTATTGTTAATGAAATGTGGCAAAGGCTCTCATTGTCATGATTGTCACATACTGTCAGTATTCTTTTTTTTAATAAGCCTTATTATCCATATAGGGTTATGTGGTGTTCATACTCATAAAATATTACTGAAATGTTTTCAAAATTAAGAAAATAAAATACAGTATGGATTCAATAAACTAGACTAGAGAGACTAATACAAAGGAAGCAATAACTCTGCTTTTGATAAGGATGGATGAAGTGACCCATGAAGTACATCTGTCTAACTGGTGAGGCTTTGTGATTCTCCGCTCCCCCTCCACCTTTTCGGACATGTATTTGTCATTATTTTAGACTCTTTTTGAATGATTTTCAGGGTACTATATCTGTTCTGCAGTAAAACGTCTAATGCAAAACAAACAATTGTTGGATTCAATCAGTGGTTGTTGATGTTCTGTGACTTCAGTTCATCAGTTTGTTAAGACTGCTTGTGAAAACGGCGGGTGTCCCGTGGATGGTTCTGTAGGCAACAGAATACCCGAACCCTGGTTGTTAGGCTTTTCTCCTGAAATGGGGAGTTTCACAATTTTAAGAATTTTTTGGCTGCTTTTTGCATAATACCCCCGAACACTAGCAGTAATTTCAGACAAGTTCCTCTCTCACTTCTCTATAAAGCAGGCAAGATTAACTGAGACAAGAAGTGGTCCTAATGGAAAACAGTTTTGGGGGGTTCAAATTATCTTTATTGTGATTTTATTCCTTTTTTTGCTGAACTATTCACTTGCCTTTAAGTTTAATGACTGGAGTGATGAAGTCGTACATTTCGTGTAGGTTTAAACTCGGTGTAAGAAAATCTTCAGGAATACCTTTTGTCTTTCACATGGACTTCTTTTGGACTTAAGTTCTTGCTTAAAGTTTAAAACTGAGTATGTCCTTGAGAATTCTTCATTAATTGAGTCGATGGTATCTATTTAAGGGATAGATTGAGCAAAGTTCAGTGCCTGCAACTTAGGCAGGTACCTATAGCGCCTAACATTTTGGTACCCATGACCCTGGAGTGGGATCCAAAAACAAAACCAGTCCAAACCCCATCTCTACCAAATAAGCTACCTAAAGATAGGCAGTAGGAAATACTAACCAGAAAGCCATGTCTAAAATTACACCTTCGCTGCAGCTTAGGCACATGACCAGGTGTGCAGAAAGGTATTTCCCGCCACCTAGGCTCCCTGTTGTGGAAGCCACGTGTGAAAGTTTCTGTAGTTTGTTCTGTGAAGGCACGGATGTGAGCTTAACTCGCGCTGTGTGTCACACCATGTGAAGGCATGGATGTGAGCTTAACTCGTGCTGTGTGTCACTTGCTGGTGTGTTTGAAAGGTTTTTCTTATTAACGCCAAGAAGTGGAAGGTGCAAGTGCAGAGCTCCTGACACTCAGGGGGAATTTCGAGCCTTATTTTAGGAATGTGCCTAGCCTATAGGTTATGAGGTCATGACAATTTTAGATTCTTTTACCTCATGTCTGAGTGAGACCTACTGGAAGGGTCTGTGCCCTGCTGGGGACTATAAATACTCTCCTGAAACAGGTCCTAACACACTAAATACATGTGAAGAACAAATATAACAGAATAACCATATAAAAAACTGATAGGAGAAGAGAGTGAGACAGAAGTAGCAAAATGACATGTGGTAGAAACAAAGGAAAGAATGGAAATAAAGAGTTGAGACTTATTGTTACAGGAGAAAAGGCCTAAAACTGTTGAGGTTAGTGGAAGGATTCCCACTGGCATCACTGGAATTTTGATCCAGCTCAGATAAAGGAAAAAGCAAAAGGGAAGGAAATTTGCTCATTTCTTTTGGAAAGAAGCTAAACAAAAGAAATAAAAGAAACATGAACACTTACAAAGCACTTAAATTTATGGCATCTTTAAGGTTGTTTTTTTTTTTAATCTATCCTAGTTTTCTGTGGCAGCAAAGTTTTTTTTTTTTTCTTCCTGAAATCTTGATAAAATAAAAAAAACCCAACTTCAGATAATATACAAATTGGCAAACATACAATTGGGGATGCTTTATTTAATTCTAAGACAAATGCCTACAAGGTGAGTTGAATTTTCTTCTGGAGCTGCTCATCAGCTAAGGCCTCTGATGGGAGGCTAGGGGACTAGCTTAAATTTGAGAACCTTGTAGAAGCTTAAGTTAGATTAAATGGATACCACTTCAAATGTGCCATCCACAGCTGTCACAAAGTGAATGTTAATTAGTTGTGGGAAGTATTGATCTCACAGTAAGTATAATGCTCTTAGCTGACCAGGGTGTAGGTTTCTAATCCTAAATTGGTTTAAAAAGGTCTTAAGGAGGATCAACTAGCTTAAACACGTGAGAGATGGAGAATATAAAATAATGGGTTTAACTTGCTTTGAATTTGTCATGTTTCAAAAGTGATGTTAGATCACAGATCTGTTCTCTTTTTCTCCCTTATATTACTGAAATAATAATGCCATAATTTACAGAATCAATTGAACCAGGAGAGACGGCTTGCCAGAAAAGCTTCCTCTAATGAAGAAGAAAAAAGCCCTGTTATCATGCAGGAAAAAACCAAAAAGCCTGAGCTGGAAGGTAGCTCTGGCATCCTGTACTCCAAAGACACAACTGCTGACTCTGCTGTAAATGGAAGTCAGACGGATGGCAGTGAGAAGGAAGCCAGCCGCTCTGAAAGCAGCTTTGATGCAGACAGCGAAGCCTCAGAAAGCGAAAGTGCTTCTAAGCAAACAGCATTCAGCCCATCCAGCAACGTGTCTGGTTTGCACGTCAACCACATAAATGTTAAAATGCCGCACAACAAACCAAATGACAGTAATGATGAGATGATTTCCAGTGCCATATCCAAACTCAGCCTCTGTGGCACTATAAATGAAGATAAGAGATCGAGCCGTGGGGATCCAGCATTAGGTTTATCGAATAATTCCATGTTCTCCCTAGACAAATCCCCGCTATCCCAAAACCCTCAAAATGCTTTCCAGACGCTTTCCCAAAGCTACATAACTAGCTCAAAAGAATGTTCTGTTCAGTCCTGCCTTTACCAGTTCACCTCTGTAGAGCTCCTAATGGGGAACAACAAGCTTTTGTGTGAGAGCTGCACAGACAGGAAACAGAAATACCAGAAGAAAACCAACTCTACAGGTAAAGTGCTCGTATCTGCCTGGACATTACAAAATTGCCTCCCAAAACCTGTGCTGCTGTTTCATCGCTCCAGCATCGGCCTCCCCCTTGTGGCTAAATAGAAAATGTCTCCTCAAGCAGAATTTGCTCAAAACTGAAAACTTCCACCCTGCGATGGCAACAACACTAAATTTTATATTAGAACATAATCGTAGCTGTAACTTAGAATCCGTTTTGCATCTTTTCTTTATCTTATCCCAGAAAAGTAATTTAAAGATGACCATAAACTGAATAGGCTCATTGTTCGATATTAATCTTTGCTGCTGTTTCTGTTCTTCACAGTCCTAGAAGGTCTGAAATAAATGCTGTAATACTCAGCTCTAGCAGCTTATATACTCAGGGAAGTAATGTAATTAAGTATGTAAGAGGGGCAAAAAAAGACAATTGGAATGAAGAGGGAAAAAAACCAACCTTAGAGATTTGTAAGAATGGAAATGAGAGAGAACTACCTTCTTGTGACAGTGTTTTCCTCGATGTTTGTATAGGCCAAGCAGACCATTAGGGTTTATGGAGTAAGAAGAATAATTTAAATACAAAGGACTAGAGGATTTTTTTTATGTACTCTAAATCAGAAGGATAGCAAAATTAAGCTCTTCTGATTATTTGTCAATAAAATATAAGGGGAGGTCTTGCAGTAACAAAAAATTGCCCGTTTGCTGTGCATGTATAGATATCTGGAGAGACACAAGTTAAGCATGAGTAAATTCAGAAAAATTAATCTAAAAGTAGTATTTTGTAATAATTCATTTATCATTATAAGTGCTATGTAAATAATACTTTGGTGCTATGGGCACAGTAAAAAATGGAAAAGGAAAATCAGTTCACAACTAACCATTATTAGTTTTTTTCCTTCTAAAACAAAAGATTTAAGAAGTCACCTACTTTTACATGAGATGCTCCATTCTACCTCAAATGAAATACTTTCCTTTGGAAAGTAAAACCAGTAAATTAATAATTTTTTCAGTGAAAAAAAAAATGCTGGTGGCATATTCCCTTTTACTGTAGAGCTAACTGGTGAGCCACCTTTGGTAAGAGCCCCCGGGTTCAATTCCCTCTACACCATAGGGGATTAGAGTCCACATACATACCCCCCAATCCTGTGTCCTCAAGCCAGCAGGTTATGAGGCATCCTGAAGCAGACACCCCTCCTCTGACTTTTCTCTTAAATAAGCACAAAGTATGTAGTCATTCAGAAAGAACTGAAAAATGGAAAATTAATCTCTATCTTAGTGGCTAGGACATTAGCACAGGTAAGAGACCTGTGCCTTACATTTCTTGTTCCCATGATCATCCATTTATTTCAGGTGAAATGGTTTTGACTGGAAAGTTGGGTGCTATAGTAACAGACAGTGTGCAGGCTGACTTAGACAGTGTACATGCTTCCAGCTTCTGATCTGATTTGCACAGGACAGGCTAAAATAATGCTCAGATTTGGCAGATTACGTTTATTAAAAACTAGAAAAATGAGAAAGTATTTTTCTACTACCCCACAAAATTTCCCATGCATTTTACATAACATGTACAAAATCATTGCAACGTAGATCTATTCTGTCAGATATTTAAAAAATACTTAAATTCCGTGTGACTGCCTTCACTTTGCAAATTATTTTGATATTCATAAATACAGAAAAGAAAATGGAAGGTGTCTACACAAACGCTCGGAAACAGCTGCTGATTTCTTCAGTTCCTGCTATTCTTATTCTCCACCTGAAAAGATTCCACCAGGTAAAAGGCCAAAACCTTCTTGTGTATTTCTCTGCCCCACTGGTGGACAAGCAGTTATTCTTTAAGTGTCATTGTGCATATCGATATTTGCTTTTCATATGGAGAACTAGTAGAACCACTATTTGAAACATGCTTATGTTTTTTTGACTGTCCAATACTTTCAGAGTGCATTTAGCCATTCAGATGTATCCAGGGAAACCTCTTATGTGTCCATCACGCTTATGTCTAGCAGGCACTGTACTGAAAACATAACAAAGAATGTTTAAATCAGTTACAATCTTATTTTTGGTTTTGGCTTATTTTAATAGTATAGTAATACACCCTAGCTTTAAAAAGCTTCCTAGTAAAAATATTTATTTTACAGTATTTTTTTTTTTATTATTTTATTTCTAAGGCTGGTTTGAGTCTACGGAAAGTCAATAGGCATGTGGATTTCCCTCTGATTTTAGACTTAGCGCCATTTTGTTCTGCATCTTGCAAGGTACACGTTTTGAATCTTTTATTTTTATTGTACTTCAACAGTTGTTGTCCTGAGCACAAGTTAAACTGGATTGATCATGGTGATGATGATTGTTATTCCTTGCTTTCCTAGAGAAATTAGAGTGAATGTTTTCAAATAGTGTCCTGAGATCAAAACTGTAACTAATTGAAATGCCATTCATATCAAGAATATCACGGATGTTAACTAGTATTAGTGAAGCTATGGTGCCCTGATGGTGTTAGGGTATCTAACAGCATTAAGGACAAATATTACTGCTTCCATGCTAACTAAATTAAATTAATAGACTATTGTGTATTTTTAATAGATGTATTTCACCCTTGGAAATGCTGTAGATGTCTGTCTGCTTCTTCAAAGTAATACTGTCGACAGCTAGTTAAGGTACCTGTAGAATTCATCATTAAATAATTTCTCTTTGTTTTCTCTGTTTCTGGGAATGCAGAACGTTATGGATGGTGCAAGAGTGCTATATAGTCTTTACGGAATAGTGGAGCACAGTGGGTCAATGAGAGGTGGTCATTATGCGGCGTATGTGAAAGTCAGGACACCCTCCAAGAAATTGCTAGAGCATATTTCTACCACTAAAAATGTTCTGGGTATGTACAAACAGAGCTTCCTTTCTCTGCGGGTAAAACCAAAAGCAACTACTGGCTGCAGCACCTTATCCTTAAGGGGATTGATAGCAAATAGTTGTTTTAGCTCAGAATATTCCGTTATTTTTAGGACCACATGAATCAATTCTCTTTTTTTTCTGTTACATCCAGTACATGACCTACTTCTGTATTAACCCCACGTAGAGCTGAGTGAATAACGGAATTTTGGTTCAGTTATGAGTCAGAGAATTGATGGGAAATTCTCTTCTCTTTCCTAGTCAAAATAGTATGTCCAGACGAATAATTGTGCCTGGTAAAATGTAATTATTCAGCATATTTGGTATTTGAAAATGTTCTAGTACAAGAGCCAAAACCATGGCAGTTTAAATTAAATTTTCTGTAATTTGAGCATTTTACCTATATTAGGATTGGAAAATTTTCTAATGCTTAAAAATCTGGAATACTGATTTAATGTGAACAGCAAGAAACTTTTTCATGGAGGGTACACGGTTTGCTGTAGGGTTTCTGTTGGTATTTTGAGAACAGCACACTAGTTCTTCTTAATATGTTTTGGATATGCAGAATGAAATAAGATTCTAGGATAGAATCTGTTAGTGAATGATTTGTGGAGGCAAGAATGTTGAGCTGTCAGAGTGAGGTAAGTGTATTTACTGTTTCCCTCCATGGGGGGAGCGAGAACCAAGCACTGTCCTGTCTGTCCTGTGTAGTATCACTTTGCATTTGAAGCTCATTTCCCAGAAGGACAATTTTTTCTATTATTTTTGAAATGGAAGTCTCCTTCAGTCTTATGCTTCCCTTGCAATGGTTATTAGAACTAATTAGGTCTTTCTGTGTTCTTAATTTCACACTGGTCAGCTTTTGAAATATGATTTTTTTCTATATCAGAACTGGTTGTGCGCTAGTGTAACTACTGTTAGAACTCAGTAAGCTGTACTTGAAATGTCTTAGGTTTTTTGAAAAAATAAGAAAAAAGTGATGGCAGTGTGCATTTGTACACTTCCACCAGTTTGTCTTACAGTACTCCTTGACATGTAAATTTCAAACTGCAAATACTGGACTGCATCTGAGTCATGAGTTATTCTTGTGGGTTAGAAGCTTCTCTTGCTTTTTGAAATATCCACTGTATTTGTTTGATGATGACGTGAAAGACAAGAAACAACTTCTTCTTTTGCATTTCAGGTTTAAAAGAAGCCATGGGAGCATCAGGAGGACAGTGGGTGTATGTCAGTGATGCCCATGTTCAGATGGTTCCAGAATCAAGAGTACTGAATGCACAAGCATATCTGCTTTTTTATGAAAGATTATTACTGTAATTCTCAACAGTTTAATTTAAGAGATGGTAGTGGTTATTTAGTTAATCTTATTTAAAGCTGCAGTGGTAAAGAGTACCTGTAAATATTGTGCCTTTATCTTGTAGAGAATTTATCATATGTTGACTCTGGAGTTCAGTCAAGCTATTATAAATATCTGAATTGTTCTCTTAAAGTACGCACTTTGCCAAACATTTAAAGTTCCTGGATTCATTAAAATACAGTACCGTTGGAATGTAAGATGATGTCCTATCCTACTGAGGTCTATGGAAAGTTTGTTCTTGATTTTAGTAAAGATAAGCTTTCACCTATAGTTCTAGAACATTTGAGAATAAAAATACAATAGCATTAAGTGCCTGGATTTGCTGGTGTACAGTAACAACATAAAGTATTTCAGCTTTCTGTGACCTAGTCCAGATCCTTCCTGTCACTGGGTTGGATGTCAGCTGTTAAGATTTCTGCAAACAAGAACCTGTCAAATCCTGTCGCTTCCACATGTAATTGGAAAGCACAGTGCTGCCAGAATGGGAATAACAGCAGCTGTCTCTGAGTAACGCTGCAGTGCACTTTCCTGACCAAGCTGGGAATAGACTGGGAAAATAAGTCCTCTACAAAGTGACAGTGAATCCTCAGATACCCAGTACCCTTTCAGCTGTCTCCAGCTGGCACTGGTATAGCAATGTACTCCTGTTTTAATATAAATATGTACTTGGTGTGCATATGTATATCCTCTGATACATATATATGCGTATATATGTATGCACACCACAAATCCATCAATATATATTGTCATTTTGCCTACTAGGAAAGAGAATTGCAAATACTTCTATATTTAGTAAATTTTCAACTTCATTATTATGACAATGTACAGCATATAAACTAGTGTATGAATATGTATGGGGCATAAGTGTAACTGGGTAATTCTGTTACTTTTGGTTCCAAACATGAATTTGTTTATCTGTTCCTGAATACTTTTCTCATGGGAGTAATAAACTATAAATTATTTTTGCACTGTTTGTGTGAGTTGGACAGTAAATGATGACTTTTGCCCTCTGATACATGTCTGGACTTCCCTTTTTCATCTGTGGAGGACATCAGGTGTCCTAGTGGCAGAACTCCTTTCTGTGTCCTGGTGGCAGAACTTGTTTCTGTAGCCTGTTGGACTGCCTGGTTTGAGTTGTTACTTCTTTTGGTAATTTCTCATTTCCGTCCCAGAGAGTAATAGTAGTAGTAATAATTTTAAGGTCAAAATCTGACGACTACTTTGAAGCTATGTGGTAATCCATTTATTTAATAAGCAGTTACTTAAATACAAATTACTTCTGCAACAGCTCCATCCAGTCCAACTTGCTCTTTGGTAGAGAAAAGACTATGTTTATTTCTGCTTACTATTTTCATTTGTGGAAGTGGGTCTTGGTGCAAAACCATGCTGGCCCTATTACTATCTCTACCACGTGTTGTCATACCTAACTTGCACAACTTTCCTATTCTCTAGTTCCATTTCAGAGCTTCATCCCACCTGCATTCACTCTCTTGCATAAGTACATAGCAAAACCTGCCCTGGTTGCATTTGCTCAAATGCTGAGGTATATTTTATAGCCACATCACTTGTGCAGGCACTAAGGACTATTAGGCCGCACAACTGATTGTCATAACAGAGTGAGCCCCTGGGCACACAGGATTTTATTTTCCAAAGGAAAATGCCTCCGTTTAGGTCAAAATCAGGCTATGCATTTCCACCAACACAATCATTCTTTCCCCTCCGCAGATTAAAATTGACCCAGTCTACCCAAAAGTAGTAAAACTCAGAGAAACCAAGCAGTCAGCTTTAGCCATGTATTCCAACTAAACACATCTTAACCTGAGTCTACACTGAGAAAGAAAGAAATCATGTTTAGACTAAAGTTGGTTAAAACGTTAATTCTCTTTTACCTCCTTACCTTCCCATACGCTTCATACATCTACACACACCTTCCCCCTCTGCATATAGCTGATCAAAACTCAGTATCAGTCACAGCAAATACCAACTAAGTTTCACTTCTGCAGCAGTCCTGCTAGGAGACCACAGATAAGGGTGTGTTTCAGCCACCTTAAAGCAGACAGACTGACTACATAAGGCCTGAAGTTCCTAGTTTTGCTGACTTCTGCAAAACTACTGAACTTAAGTCCCTGTATTCATGTCCTACTTTTTAGCCTAGAACTAACCCCCTAGAGTACAAAACTAGGAAAGAAATAAAACAAGGTTCTTAACCTGTTATTTCTTATTTTTAATGCTGTTTTCAGGAAACTCCTGAGGTGGTCTTTGCTTCTCTTGAACTGGACTTAACACACTGTTCAGATCGCTGAAATCTTCCCAAGGGGACATAGTGACTAGGATGCCATGAAAGATGCTGGCAGGATTATTTCCTCATTAACAGCCAGGGAACATTAAGGTATTTTATAGAACATGGAGAGAAAATGGCATGAAAAAAAGCCAACGCCTTTATCCGAGATAGCCGTCACTGTTGCTCCTGGAAGAGGCTTCCCAAGTTGAAATAATAAGCAGCGTGAGTAGTAGCTCCAGTAAGTTCAGTCTCAGGAACAGGTATGAAAATATTATAGAAGGAAATGCTCTCTAAAAATGAGGGCAACAGGTGAAGTTACGGCTTTAGAATGAACAAATGACGACTAGACAAGATGTCATACACAATTTTAGATACAAGTCACACTCAGTGTGTCCTTTAAGACATAGGGGTTTGGGTTTTTGGTTTTTTTTTTTTTGGTGACAAAATTTGGCTCCAAAGCAAGTGATTGCACATAAATATTCATACTTAAGATCATACATAAAGATTCATACTACTTGTTGTAGTTGGTGACAAAATTTGGCTCCAAAGCAAGTGATTACATATAAATATTCATACTTAAGATTGTTGTACTTCCTTATCAGGAATTGCAAGAGAAGGTCAGAGCGTTCCAGGAAAATAGGGGTGTACATCCTTTATTTGCGACAATGTTAAACATGATTCTAGAGGCTATTTGCAAAGTCTAGGAACTCCTCGTCTCCTGCAACTCCTAGATGCATGCACACTATTGAGAAGCTGTGTGTTTTCAGAACTTAACTGAAGGGCTCTCCTCAAAATATGTTACCAGACCAAAAATCTTTTCAGGCCTACAGCATCTACTCTTCACAGTGCTACACCATACCCCTGTGGTCTCCCCCACCCCGGGGAAGTTCACTAGCCTGCTTCTTCATGTGGAACAGCTTAGAAATGGCTTTCTCTTTGTCCCACCCTTCTCTTCTCACAAGGGCACCGCTGTTTTCTTCATCAACTTCATCTGTTCTTTATGTTTTCGGGGTCTCCAGTAAGCCTGTGTGTCAATGTCTTTTCTTTCATCGATCCTTAACCATAACATAATGTTTCCCAATCCCATCGCTTGCGTTCCATGAACAAATAAAACTCTTACTGGATGAGCTACTGTAACTATAGTCTTACCTCTACCACCTCACAGATGGCAACACAGGTCCTGAGAAAAGCTGTGGCTCCTGAGCAGCTCTCTGCTGACCAGTCACAAGACAGTGCCTTAGAAACAGCGAGGAAGAAAGCAAAGCAAATCGTTCCTCACTCTTCAGTAAGTAAACCTAATTTATGAGAAGTACTTGATTGGCATACGGACAACTGGAAACCCCTACAAAAGTTTCCCCAGAGCGGAGGCATCAACAAAGATGGCTGTATCAGCTAAGGAGTTAGTCCAGCTTATAGCGTCTTTCTCCTCAGAAAGAACTTTGTTATCTTTACATTTGTATGCCATTTATGTTAAACATGACAAAAAGCAATGGGGAGAAGATTTATTATACTAACCTATGTACACCAATACATGTACAGACATCATGTTTCTATAAGCTCATTCTCCTAAGAGAAGGCTACAAATACTTGGTGGTGAAGGAAAAATAAACCCTAAACTTCTCTGCCCAAAATGTACACACTGTAGAAACACATTTGTTTAGAAAATGAAATCCCTGCAGTCTGTCAAACCTTCCCCCCCTATTCCCATCTGCACCCTCTTTGTGTATCAATGAAGTGCTCTTGCTTATGAATTTCAAGTGGTAGCAGGTGAGAGTGGTTTATAAATTCATTAAAAGGCTGAAACACCTTAACTTCACCATTTGCTTCTCTTTGGACTTCTTTTTTATACTAACACAAACTGAATCATAATTGGACATGGAATTAATGCATCTACGTTCTCAACCCATTATAAAAATCTTATGTGAACACATTAGTAACAAATTAAGAGTGGGAAAGAAATACTTTCTTGAGAAGAAACTTTAAGATGTATTCAAATGCTTGCTTTGTTCCTATTTTAATACAACTCTTATGTTAGCAAAGGTTAGCAAATCCAATTTTAATTAAAAAGTGGTAGCATACTTCACAAAGCAGCTTCATAGCCGCCCTGATTAAACAAAAATTTGATATCCCTCAGTTTTCATCAGCTGGAAACTTTCTTGCTGTGCCCTGTAGACATTTATGCATTTGTACAAGGATTTATATGTCTACATGAAAGAAATTTTCAGTAGAACCACTTCAGTCTAATTATTTTAGAATGGATTATTTTTGCTTCTGTACCTATTTACTGTTTCTTAGGGTGTCATTTTGCCAGCTGTTTTAGCTCTTTGTACCTCTCCCACTGGTGTACAAGTAAACTACAGAAACAGTGAGAAAGTGATTATTCAAAATTATTCAAAAATAAATTTTTTTGTAAACTGAGATTATAAAATATATTTTCAGACAGAAGTCTGTTGGTGCAAGTCAAAGCACTTCCTTTGCACAACCTTATGTAAAAAGTCCAAGTGAATTTATCTGTTAAAATAATTGCAGTGCATTGTAAGTACTTTAAGACTACTTGCTATACATTCCATTCATATAAAGTTATAAATACTTTTGCATTCATTGATATTAGTAGAAAAACTATTTTTAAGTGTCAAGAATGTTTCTTACATCTGTTGCAGCTTCCAATATTTTTCTAGTACAAAATATAAAGGTGCGGTACTGCTTTTACACAACAACAGAAAAGCATTTATTTTGAGTAGGTTTATGACTTCTTAACACTAACCTCATTGCTTTGCTAGGTTAGTTTTTTGGTTTTGAGCTGTGTAACCTGGGGATCATTACAGTGAACTCTGTAATGAAACCACCATGTCAATGGCAGCCATTCACTATTTAGCCATTTCACAGAGTCCTGATTCTATTGTCATTTATGCATGGGATAATCCCCGATACGTGCTTGCACTTATACAAAAGACAATTCGAGTAATCAAAAAACCCCGTTGCTAAGCCTGAAATACTTGTGAACAATAAATCACCTTGTTTTCATTCTTTTACTTTTTTTTCATCCTTTTGCAACTAACAGTCTTAACAGTGCCTGCAGGTATTCAAATAACAAATATTTTTAGAAATTTACTACAGTACCGATACATTGTACATTTCATTTTGTAGGTTTCCAATTCCAAGCATTACTAAGCAAACAGGACCTTAAACACAGACTGTATTTAAAAACCAAACAAAAGTCTGATCAGTTTTCCAATCTGTCCTATGTGCTTTAACAAGTGTCTCAGAATAAAGCTGCCATTTGTCTTCTATTCATTTTGTCTTTTCATCTATGTTATATATTATTTGACAGATGCATAAGTAAAATATCCAACCATTTGGAAAACTCTATCATTTAACTATAAGCTGTACCTTGTGCAGTTGAGTTCACAAAACCTCTGGTTTTTTCGCAACTAAAGAGTGAATATTTTTTCCTTTCACCTTCTGTCACAACTTCACGTAATTCTGTGGTAAGACCAGGACCACGAGTGGGTCCCCCTCACAGCCCCAGTTCCAGTAGTAGCTTAAAGCTTGCCCATCCAGAAGTACCACTCCAGGGCTCCAGCTGTGCGTCAGTTGACACTGGAGAGACTTAAAACTTCCAAAACGCTTCTGTCCATGGAAAACATTCTTGGTCCAGCCATTCCTTGTGACACTAAAAGGGAAAAGTCTAGAACACTTCAGTTGACAGGAACAGGTAGCGCAAGTAGCACCAACAAAACTTGCAATGAAATCATTACATGAAGTAAAGGGCAGGTTTCTTGAAGCTTTCAATTTTCTATAGGTTTATAAAAGTTAATTTATTCTGTTATACTCCATGTGGCTATTCATGTTACTTTATCCAGTGATCAAAGAGATTACGGATGTTTTAGGCATTTACATCAGATGACTCTAGAGGAAGGAAAGGCAGCGATGACAGCGGTAAGGAACGTGCTAGCTAACGAAAACCTCTGTTCCACGAACAGCAATGCAACCCCCAAGTTCTTCCCTACAGAATCAACCGCAACGTCGACACAAGAAGAGCTATTTACCAAGGAGGGATTTTGGCTTATCTTCATACTTTAAAATACAATGCCAGTTTCAAGGTACGTCTCACGATTACCTTAGTTAATTGGGATATTCTGAATAAACTACTTAAAGAATTGCCCTGCTCCACCAGTGCTCCAGCCACGCACGCACGGACCCGACTTACACAGGATGCCCACACCCCGCAAGCCACTTACTTACTTCAGTGCAGCATCGCGGCCCAGAGCTGCAGCCACCGAACGAAGCAGCTTCGTGGACTTCTTGGCGTGGACTCCACCCTCCGCACCGGGACCTGGGATCACGCCCTCCGACGAGCGGTTACCCGCGGAGGCCACGCGGCTGACGAGCTTCCCGCGTCTCTCCTCAGGCGAACGCGCGCAGGCGGGAAGGC